ACATCAGTGTAACTTAACATTGGTGAACCGGTTAAATGGCAAAAATACATGTGATAATACACGTACAATTCAAACAACAAATGAAAAGCTCTGGGCAGGTTCAAGTAACAGAGTTGGATAGAAGATTGATTACTTTGACCATTTACAGTCTGCAGCCCTCCAATTTGTTTTAATGATGTCTTGATAGTTCTCTGCCTGCAAATATCCTAAAGAAGATCCTGGGGCTTCCCCGGTGGCGCAGTGGTTGAGAGTCCGCCTGCCGATGCAGGGGACACGGGTTCGTGCCCTGGTCCAGGAAGATTCCACATGCTGCGGAGTGGCTGGGCCCGTGAGCCATGGCCGCTGAGCCTGCGCATCCAGAGCCTGTGCTCCGCAACGGGAGAGGCCACAACAGTGAGAGGCCTGCGAACCGCAAAAAAAAAAAAAAAGAATATCCTAAGCATTCTTAATTTGAATTTCTTTTTGTGTTAATTCATCCATCTTTGGAATTTAGCAAAATATAACATATTTCAGTTGTGTGTGACTGATAAAGACGGCAGGCATTTTATCAAGCTTCTGTGTTATTTAACGACAGTTCTGTGATGTGTCAAATAAACAATCCATGCTTCCTTATACTTTATACAATTCCTTTAGAACCAATCCTACCTATTGGCCAGTAGATCAAAAAGACTGCCACAGAAAACAATGATACAAAAGAAACATTGAAATATGATAAAAGAAGGCCCAAGGGATGAAAGGAATGAGTTGGAGAATATATCCAGGTTAAAGAAAGTTCCAGGCCACCCCTGATGTCAAAGTACTTTTCTGGTCTTGATCTGTCATAACAAAAAGAAAAAAAGGTTCTTACTATTTTTAAGGCAAACTTCTTTCCTCAGCATAGAGATGTTATATCAAATGCCAATTATGCATTTCAAAAAAGCAAAGAAATACAATGAATTTTTACAAAACACAGCAATTCGGTGACTCTTTTTCTTATGAAGTCTCTATTTCCAGAAAAAAAAATTTATAGCACTAGAATGCATACTTTACCATTATGTATGAACAAACAATATTTTTAAAAATATTACTAACATAGAAAATATAAATCATGAAATTAGTGAAGAGTCAAACACATGGGAAAAGTCACAGAGCGGGAAGTAGCCTCCAGAGGTCATCAAACCATCCTCCTAAAACACTACACATTGGTAAGTCCCCGATTCAAGAAAAAGCAATGATTCCACCATCACACTTGATGGAAGGGGACTTCTGTTTTGGCTTTTGGGAGGTGGTGGCCATTCTAGAATTTTTCTTCTGTACCATTCCCAGTGTATTCAGCATTCATTGTGTTACTTTGGTCGTTTATTTTAGTGGCTCTACTCACTGCCACTAATACCACTGGCAAAAGAAGAACATTATGAAGTTTTCTATTTAAATCCATTGTTCAACTGCCTTTCTTTTGATGTATGCTTTACCAACAGAGTTTACAATCTTGTGAAAGTTTATGTAGTAGTGAGATCCAGATTCTCAATTCTGTATCTAATCCCCAAGTCAAGCCATCTTTATTCATCAAATCAAAACTAAGTTATAAAGGAAAAAGTGATGAGCATTCTTTTTCTCTTCAAAAGGAAACAAAAAAAATCTATTTTATAAAGACAAAGATTCTCAAGTTGACACCAGTTTACTACAAACACTGCTTAACTGTCACCCAAAAGCTGAGACTTTCTTGTTTCAGGTTATAATTTTCATTATATGGAAATGGCAAGGTTACCATGACTTCATAAAAATTAACTGTAGAATTAGAATCTTGTAATTATAGATAAAAGTTAAATTTTAGAAGTATCAGGGGCTATAACAATGAAACATTCTAAACATTATCCACTACTTAAGACAAATTTTAAGTGTGTTTAAACATAAGGTGAAATGTGCAATGCAGACTAAATCAGTGTAGAGTAAAAACCCAATAGTGTACATATAGATAATGAAGGGATCAGGGAAGCTGGTTAAAACTTATAATGAAGAGAGAACTAGTAAGAATATAGCAACCTGGCTGAAATTGATATTCATTAGGGTACTCTCACATCAATAGGGAGCATTTGGATGCTGTGGTCTTTATCAGTGTCCCAGCTGGTAATGGCTGAAGGTTAATGCCTTACCCCATTCTGTTCAATTTTCTATCCTAATTAGCCCTCCAAATCTATAGCTGTGAGCACCAAGTGTCTGTGCTCAAAAGAAACTAATTAATGCTAGCAAATTAGATCAAGTCCAAAGATCCAACAGCCAAACTCTTAGTTAAATGCTCCTTGTTAATAGGAAGTGTAGCTGTCAATAACTGCTGTTGGTGACTATAATGAGGCATCCTTTTTTTCATTGAAAGTGATTTCATTTCTCTTTGTCACTGGAAAAGCTGTTCCATTCCCTTCACAAACCTAAGTTGCTGGCAGCCTGACCCAATTCTTATGATCAGCCAGGTTGAAATGACATGAAAAAATAAAATAAAATCAAACAGAAAAGCTTTCCTACATAATCATGTTTCAGGAATTTAACAGAAAATCAGATCACTTATTAGAATTCCTATATCTTTACTCAAGAACTGTACAATTAGGATGCATAATGCTTTTATGTAAAATCCTGTAATTATTTAATAAAACAAAGGCTATAAACAGTAAATAAACCACAATGGAAGTGTTCTGATTCTAAATTCCGTCTTATTGTTCAGTTTAAACGTAGCTGTTCTGCTCCCACTTGAGCAATGCCAGTTTATGTTCTCTCCTAGTTCACATGGTTAAACAGGAAGATCATTCTTTTATAAAATAATCAATTTTAGATTCTAAAACACTGTTTTGGACCATATGGCCTGACAAAAAATCGATATATGATATCTATAAAAATTCAAATACTCAAAGATCATTTGTTATAACGTGTTCTAGTAGGGACAAATGCATTGAAATAACTCAAATGGATCTCAAATTTTAAGATGCTTTCAGTCTTCAGAAGATTTTAAATATGGTTAAAAAAAAAAAAGATCAACATCCTCAGCAACTTAAGTTTTGATAAAGAAGCAAAAACTAAACATTTTCTTTTCTGTACCATTACAAAGTAATAGGTGTGTAACACAAATATTTTAAAGTTATACTCTATTTCTTTCATTTCAAAGACCAAAGTTTCATTGCCTAAGAGCAAAGCAAAGGTAGTTCTGAAACCCAAACTCGACCATTTCACATTTTCATCTGAATCATGTAAGAAATCTGTAATTGAGTTATCTAGCTTTCTTTCATTCTAGATATCAGAATAACATGTTACAAAACCCTATAATTTTATTATCCATTTTTAAGTTTTATCCTCCCTCACCTGAATCAGGATATTTTTTTAAAGTCCTATGAGGCAGGTGGAGGGTTACCTCTTGAGACCATCAGCATGACACCCGCTGACGCCAGGTGTGCACTGAACCCTACCCGCAGGTGCCAACGGAGTAACTTCTCCTGCCATCTGGGGGTGGGGGAAAGGAAGGTGCTCTGATTATACAACTAATTCATAATGAAACCAAGACCATCAAATGATACTAATAAATTACTGATAACTTGTTAATAAATTTATTTACAGATGGATTTAATTCAAACCTGATTTATAGGTGGATTTAAAATGGGAATAGCTCATGATAAATCATTTAAGAAAAAGAAATGACCATCACACAATGTCAATTCTGAGGAACTATTCTTTTATTGCCTTTGTCCATCAGTCCCAGAGGTCATTCTCTAAGGAGATAGCATCTAAGGGACAGAAATGTGCCTAGCACCCAAATGTTATTGACACAGTCCCCAAACTACAGCTGACACAGCCTGGCTTCCCGCAGAGAAACTTGCCGGGCACTGCAGCCCATCAGCCCCACTAAGCATTACTGTGGTCCCTCAACGAAGGCTACAAGGGATGCTGGGAAAACAGTCCACGTCAGTACAATTTTACCACTGTTTCTTTGCCATGGACATTCCAAGAGGAAGATTTTTTTTTTAATTTATTTATTTACTTATTTATTTTTGGCTGTGTTGAGTCTTCATTTCTGTGCGAGGGCTTTCTCTAGTTGTGGCAAGCGGGGGCCACTCTTCATCGCGATGCGCGGGCCTCTCACTATCGCGGCCTCTCTTGTTGCGGAGCACAGGCTCCAGATGCGCAGGCTCAGTAGTTGTGGCTCACGGGCCTAGTTGCTCCGCGGCATGTGGGATCTTCCCAGACCAGGGCTCGAACCCGTGTCCCCTGCATTAGCAGGCAGATTCTCAACCACTGTGCCACCAGGGAAGCCCCCAAGAGGAAGATTTTTATTAAAAAAACATTTCTACAATAATACTGCTATCTGCTTTTCTAATTACCCACCATTTATGGCCTCATTTTTCATCTTCTACGCCTTTGTATTTTTCACTATAATATTACATATTAATCAACATATCTCTAGATTTATAGAATACAGGCATATTTTATATTAAAACATTTTTCACAGAATACATGCATATGTGGGTGTCTAGTGCATGCATTTACAGAAATATCTTCTGCTCAGAAATGTAGAATATAGAAAAGTTTTTTAAAAGACTTGTAAGTACTACTGAAATTCCATTAACAATTCAATAATAGACAACAACGCCAAAGAAAATCATCTTAGACTATATTCCTATATGAATATGTTGATAGAGGAAAAACAGGCACACATTACATTTGATGTTTCTTCTTTCCCTATCAGAATCACCAGAATAACTTGTTTCTCCAAAATATGAATACAAGTTTTTCTCTCTATATAACTGTACATCTAGGAAAAAATGCTTTTTACTAGGAATCTGGGAGAATATTTTTAAATTGCAAATGAATTGAACACTGCCTGGAAGTTCTGAAAGCTGAAATACTGGTATCTGAGTGAAAGGGTAAGAAGCAATTCATACATATTAATTCATTGACTACTTGATTCCAAGGCTAAGGATTAAATTCAGATCATGTTATAAAAAACGTATTTGATCTTCATATGAATATTTGAATCTTACCTTGAACTTGTTCAGAACATCTCTCTCGGGCCTTTTCTCTCATTATTTTGGAGATCAAAACATCTTTTTCGACATGTCTGAGATGCTGCTCTGAAAAAAAAAAAAAAGATCTTCCTTTAATATAGTAAAGTCTCAGGTAAATCACCAGTTTAGGGGAAAAATAAGCACTCTGGTCTACTTAAAATAAAAGCCTAGGCAAACATATTAAAAAGTGACTCTTCTATGACCTCATGAAATTGTGACTCTTTAGTCGCTGAAAATCATTCTAAATATTGTTTTATATATGAAAGAAAAAATGTGAGGGTGTAGGCAACATCTTTCTAAAACATTCTGCAAACTATGTTGCAACACTTTTATTTGATAACACATTCCATGTAGTCTTGGCAAAATTAAAGTCATAAAGTGTTATAATTTTTTAATTCATATAATCCACAAAAAGAGGATTTTTAGCAATACAGTACTGAGATCCAAGGATAGATGAAGAGATCCAAGATTAAGAGACATGTGAGTAGTTTCTCCACCCAGTAACAAGGGTAGCTTAAGAAAGAGCTGGCAGAAGAAGAAAAAGTGGAACTCGTGTGCATAGAAAAACAAACTACAGGAGGTTTCTGTGCACTTTAAATAGAACTACCTCAGTTAGACTAACACAGCAGCCGAAGCACCTGCTCCAAACTCCCACCTGCTCCTCAAATTCCTAGAGAACCCTGAAATCCAAAGGGGTAAGTATCCTCCAAATGATCAGGAATTCTGAAAGGCAAAAGGCAGATGAGATCAGATTAAAGGAGGCAATCTTATCCCCAGAGTTTTTTCCCAGGAAAAAACTGATACCAAAAGTAGGAAGCGGGCTTCCCTGACGGCGCAATGCTTGAGAGTCCGCCTGCCGATGCAGGGGACACGGGTTCGTGCCCCGGTCCGGGAAGATCCCACATGCCACGGAGTGGCTGGGCCCGTGAGCCATGGCCGCTAAGCCTGCGCGTCCGGAGCCTGTGCTCCGCAACAGGAGAGGCCACAGCAGTGAGAGGCCCGCGTAACGCATAAAAGAAAAAAAAAAAAAAAGGTAGGAAGCATGCTCCACGCTCTGAAGCAGCAGAAACGGGGAGAAGGAAACATCCCTAGAGGAAACCAAAGCATTAGTGGTCAAAATACCACAGCAGGAGCCAAAGGAGGTCACTCTTCTGCTGCCTTCAGACCACAGGTAAAATAAGTAAATACAGGCACTTATCTCCATAAGATCAGAAAGTCTCTCAGTATCTATCTAGTGACACTTAAGACCAGGAACCCCTAAACTTTTCCTGGTTCCCAACATCCTCTGGATGCAGCTATGAAGTGATACAGTATTTGTAGAGAGGGTAAGAGGGCATCTCAAAAAGCAAACAAAATCAGCAACAACCAAACAGCCAAGAATCACCTAAATTTGTTGAAGGACAACACAGTGAAAAGGAGAACCCAACTGTAATTAATCAAGAAGTAAACAACTCCTAAGAGGGTGAAAAGAGTAAAGAAAATAAGATTTTCAAATAAATATAATATACTGAAGCAAATAAAAAGACATGAGTTCTCAGAAAGAAACAAATCATAGGTCACCTAAATGCACTTTGATGAAATATCTGAAGCTCAAAAATCCTAAAAGCTTCTAAAGGGAAAAAAAAAATCACCACACAGAGGAACAGGACCAGATTTACATCGTGTTTCACAGGCAAGATGTGGATGCAAGAAGATAATGATGAAATAACATCAAAGTTCTCAGAAAGAATTACTTTATATCCAAGAATTCCAGAGCCAATTAAGAGTGAAATTAAAGATATTTTCAGATATGTAAGAACTGAAAAGTTTCTCTCTTTCAACCCCACCAAAAAAGAAATGATCTTTATCATAGTGTGACAAACCAAGCCACTAATCCAATGTGGTGATGGAAAACAAGAATCCTTCTGTATGCACAGGGAGCCCATGGGCAGGAGTTCAGGCAGGTAGAGCAGAAGTGACTCTTCTCTGCTTCTGTGTCTGGGGCTCATCTGGGAAGACTCCAGCCACAGGCCCTGACTTCAATAGCCACAAAAGCTGGGGCTGGAGGATTTACTGCCAAGAAGACTTCTTTCTTCACATATTTATCTGATGTGTGGACTGGAAAGGCCAAATCACCTACACAGGGTACAGTGGGTAGGTGGCCTTTTCTGAGCCTGTTGTGGAAGCCATGCAGCCTTGTTCCTGCTACCTTATATGTTGATTTCAAGTCACTGGGCTCAGCCTACACTCCAGTGGAGGGAGGGCCACATCACACAGAGCCTGAGAGAGGGAAGATACTGTTGTAACCTTCTTTGTAAAATAAAATCTGCCACAAGAAGTAATAGAGAATGTATTCTGATCAAATAAAATGAATCCATGATGTACAAGTATAAATATATAAGGCATATTAGAAAACATACATTTAAATTTACATGTTAAAACTGTAGAGTACTTGAACAACATCATCAACTAACTTGACCTAACATTTATAGAATACTCCACTCAATAGCAGCTGAATATTTACCAAGATAAACTATAGTCTGGGCTAGGAAACAAATCTTAATAAGTGTAAAAGAATTCAAATCATACAAAGTATGTTCCCTGACACCGGTGTATTTAAAGTAGAAATCAGTAACAAAAGGATCTCTTGATAATCTTCAAACATTTGGACACTAAATAACACACTTTAAAATAACCCATGGGTCTAGGAAGAAATGAAAAGGGAAATTAGAAAGTATTTTGAAATGAAAGAAAATATATCAAAATTTGTGTGAGGCAGCTAAAACAGTACTGATAGAAAAATTTATAGCACTAAAAGTTTACATTGGAAAAAACGGATAGTCTTAAATCAATGACTTAATCTTCCACCTTGAGAAATTAGAAAAAGAATAAAGAAACACAAAGCAAAGGAAAGAAATAATAAAACCTAAGCATAAATCAATGAAATAGAAACCAAAATAAACAAGCAAAATGATAAAGAAAAGCAATGAAACCAAAACTGGTTCTTTGAAAACATTATTAAAACTGATAAACCACCTTGCCAGTAAAAAAGGGAGGTCACAAAGATCAGAAATGATACACATTTTTATATAATAATAATGTATTTAAGTGATCTTTAAATGTAGGTCAATAAATTTGACAACGAAGATGAAGTGGACAAATTCCTTGAAAAACACAAATAACCAAACCTAACTCAAAAGGACATATAACCAGCAGAGCCCTGTATCTATTAAGAAAATTGAATCTGTAGTTAAAAGCTTTCTCACAAAAAAATTCCAGACCCAGAGAGCCTCACTGGTGAATGTGGCCAAACATTTAAGAAAGAAATAATATCAATTCCATACGAACTCTTTCAGAAAACTGCTCTGAAGCCAGCATTACCCTGATACCAAAACCTGATAAGACATTACAAGAAAAGAAAACTACGGTCCAATATCCCATCATGAATACAGATGTAAAACTCTTTACAAAAGATGAGCAAATTGAATCCAGCAATACAAAAAAGGATAATACCTCATGACTAGGTGGGGTCTATCCCAGGATTGCAAGCTTCACTTAATATTCAAAAGTCAAGAAATGTAATTCATCATATTAAAAAACTAAAGAAGGTAAGACACGTGGTTATGACAACAAGCCACAGAAAATACATTTGACAAAAACCTAATATCCATTCCTAATTAAAACCCTCAGTAAAGTAGGAACAGAAGGAAACTTCCTCAACAGGATAAACGGCATCTAAAAAAAAAACCCACTGCTGATATCATATTTAATGGTGAAACACTGAATGTTTTCCTCCTAAAACAGGGAACAAAAGATAAAGAAGTCTGCTCTTACCATTTCTATTCAGCATTATACTGGATGTTCTAGCCAGTGCAATAAGGCAAGAAAAATAAAAGGCTTCCAGATTGAAAAGTAAAAAATAAAACCATAGTTACTCAAAGATCATATAATTGTCTATATAGAAAATCCAATAGAATCTACAAAAAGTTACTAGAACTAGTATATGAGTTCAGCAAGGCTTCCAGATACAAGATTAATATACAAAAATCAAATGGAAATGACATAATAAAAAGTCAGAGAACTAGAAAATAATTCAATAATAACCTTCCAATCTATAAAATAGAAAATGGCTTTTTAAAAAATGAACTGGGGCTCAGGAACCTGCAAGACAAGAAGAAAAGATCTAACATTGATTTTACCACAGTCTCAGAAAAAGAGGTAAAAAGAATGCAGGGCTGAAAAAATATTTGAAGAAATGACTGACACTTTTACGAACTAGTCAAAAGACAAAAACCTATTAATTCAAGAAAACAGTTAAAAACCTAAAGAAATACACACCCAGACAAATCATAATCATACTTCAGAAAATGAGAAAGAAAAATCTTCAAGGTGCAGGGCAGAAGTTGAGACACAGATGTAGAGAACAAAGGTATGGACACCAAGGGAGGAAAGCCACGGTGGGGAGGGGATGGTGGTGTGCTGAATTGGACGATTGGGACTGACATTTATACACTGATGTGTATAAAATTGATGACTAATAAGAAACTGCTGTATAAAAAAATAAAATTCAAAAAAAAAATCTTCAAGGCATCAGAGAGAAATATAGCAGAACAAAAATTCAAAAGACAAAGGCTTTCTCTTCAGAAACCAGAGGCCAGAAGGAAGTGTCACAGTATTTTTGAGTACTAAAAGAAAAGACCTGTCAATCAAAAATTCTATAACCAGAAAAAATGTTTTTCAGGATTGAAGACAGAATAAAGATAACTCAGAGGAAAGGAAGCTAAGGTAATTTCTTGCCAGCAGACCTGTTGTAAAAGAATGGCTAGAGGAAGTTATTCAGACAGGAAGGAAATATTAACAAAAGGAAACTCAGAACAACAGGAATGAAGAAAGGACAACACAAAGAATAAATGTAATAAACTATTCTTTTCTTGAATTTTAAAAATTATTTTTGACAGAAGCAAAAATTATAGCATTCTCAATGTATATAGAGATAATATTAAAGATGACTTCCGGATAAAGGAAAGAGGATAAAGCAACTTCGGTGGTAGTAAGATATCTACATTTTATTTGAAAGATAAAATGTT